AACATGGACAATAATTGCCTACGTACAATTATACACTGAAACACAATACAATTATAAACTTTAATTTTCAAGTATAATAAAAAATAATTATTAAAAAAGATTAAAAAAACAAAATAAAAATAAAAAAAAGAGAAGAAAGTTTAAATTTATATACGTTCATATCAAGCTGTAAAATACTCGTATGTATGCATCTCTTTCCCCTAATATCATCTTATTCATAGGAGCGTAATCAATATATATATATATATATCTCCGTTATAGTTTGACTATACTTAAGAAAACTTTAATAGAATCTATCTATCTTAATTTCATATTTAATGTAGCTAACTTGTTTCAATTGAAGATAAACAAATGATTATCATCATGCATTTCATTTAATTTCCAATTTTTTTTTTGGAAGTTGACAATTGTGTCTTCCCTTTCTAAGAAAATTTAATTTTTAAAACAGGCTAAATTAATTTTATTAAATATGTAAATTTATTACTTATGTGTAAATATAGCGATTAATATACAAAATTAATAAAAAAAAAAGAAAAAAAAGAAGAAATAGAAATAATAATAAATTAATTTAATTTTCCTTCGCGATTTCGAGATAAAATGAGATTTCACATAAAATTTATCTGAGGTTAATTATTGCTTTAATAGATTAGAAAAAAGTCTAAAAAAATATTTTTTTAGGAATATTAATTTATATTGATTCCACGTGATTTATAAGAATTTGTATTTAAAACTTTAAAGACTATAAATTTGATAATTTATCTGTAAATAAGAAAGTAATAATTTTTATTAATTTATAATATCAAAATTGTTATTTGTACGATATCAAATATCGTATTTAACAATTTTTTTTAAATTTATTCAATAAAGCATTTTTAATTTAGTAAATGTAAGACGATTTATTAAAAAATATTTAATGCACAATGTATTGATAAACTATAATTATTAATTCCTTTTTACAGATAATTCAGTTAATTGAATATTATTTTTTTATAAATTCCAAAAAAATTATAAATTATTTCTAATACTTGCGTTTTTTCATTGCTTACGCATGCTATTTATTATTAATATGCATATTCGATACTTCTTGCGTAATATAATATTATGCTTTATTAATAATATTGAAAAAAAGCTTACATTCATATAAAATAACATGAAACGCTATGCATTATTAACTTTTTAAATTAAATTAAATTAAATTATTAAATTTAATTAAATTATAATTATAACATAATTAAATTACTCAATAATTAATATGGTATTTCGTATTTAAGTTATGGATTATTTAATATACAAAAGAACATAATAGATTAAATCAGTTAAACATATAATGAAATCAATTAAACATATAATTACATCAGTTCAATGGCTTTATACGTGGCTTTACAAATATATGTGATGTATTAGAAATTGTATTTTATTGTTATTTCTTGAGAAAGAATTGACAAGAGGTTCAACACAAAAATTGAAAACGATTCTATGAGTAATAAGAAATCAACTACCTGAAACCTATAAATATTGTTTATACATTAAATTATAAAATAGAGAAATCTTTAGGGCAGACAAAGATATTTTCTAGTAATACATGTAGTGTACCTAAACATTTTTTTTTTTTTTTTAATAAGATTTTTTTTTATAATTAATTAATTTATAGTTAATTTTCAATTCTTGTTATACTATAAATGTATTAGATTAAACTAATTTAAGATTATTATTTTGTAAAGGATAGAGTTATATTTTATGAAGATAATAATTTAAAATTTATACAAGAAATATATATATATATATATATATATATTATACGAATTTTATCTTTTACAATAAAAATATCGATCGTTTCAAAATTAATTACAATGTCAATTAATTTATAAATGCTAAATGAAACCTTATTATCATATTACAATTAATGTATCGATATTTCATTATATCGATTTTCAGATACTTATCAACGACTCAGGCACGGATGCCTTATATTGAAGCTTATAACAATACAAATGTTATTCGAAAAATTCTAAAGTCAAGAAACTCTTTAGTTAATGTGTTCGATAAAGGACTTTATTGTAAAATAAACATTGCAGAATTTCTTAAGCCCATCGATACATTTATAAGATACGACAGAATTTCCATTCTGTTCAACCAAAATAATCGTGATATATCTTGTTATTACGAATTTTATTGTTTTAAACACTAAGTATTTTGTTATGTATGATGCTCCGGATGAAGAACTCAATGTCTAATGTCATATTTGGAAAGAAGTTGAATTATTTCCAGGCATTGAGAACAAATTAGTATTAATGTATATTCACCATCGATTCTCAAATTAATCTCGATAGTAACAAATTATTTCTATAATTATCATATACATCCCGTTAAAAAAAAAAAAAAAATAAACTTGATAATAAAATTGATTGAATAATTTATAAGACCTTAATCGAGTACATGTATTGTATAATACTTGTTAAACTTTGTAATTACTTGTAAATTATTTGTAATTAAAGTAAAAACAAAAACAAAAACAAAAAAATCAAGTCAGCCTTCGAATAATTTTTAAAAACTTGTTGGATATATTTTAAAATATTTTATAGGAATTTTTCATAAGCTCGAGTCAGTCGGTAGAATATTGCTTAGAGCCAAATTAAAAAAAAAATATTACAATATAATGAGAACGGATGAGATGCCTAATCGAAGGTCTCGTAAATACAGTATAAGATTTTATTATATAAACACTTTATTAGATTTCAATGAAACTTTACATGTATCTATGTCAGAATTTTATAGAACACTATCTTACTATATATAAGTTAAATGTGTACTCTTTAGATAAAAAAAAAAAAAAAAAAAAATGTAGCGACGAGCAAAATTGATTTGTGTACAATGCATTTACTTTAATAAAGTACAATGTAGTCGAATAATCTCATTGCAGATCGACTTTATGATAAATTTAATAAATAATATCTTTATAATAATGTTGTTGTTCGAATGTTTTATACTATATAAAGAAATATTTTTCATCTTGTTATTATGAAAACGACGATTTCAGAAACTTAGAAACAAATTTGATAAATGTTTATATATCATAATTTTATTAGTTATTTTATAAATAAATTAGTGCTTTTAGAAGATAATGGTGAGTGATGGAACTATATTAAAATATGATATTTTCTTAAATTTATATCGTGTAAATTAATAATGTAAATAAATTATTCTTGATTTTTCATAAATTTTCTATTTAATAAATATAGATTCAAGGCTAAATATCTAATTATAGTTGGCAAATTTATTGGAATATTACATTTCATATTTCTAGAACTACTGTAAAAAAAAAAACAAAAAAAAACAATAATATCTTTTAAGAAATTCGACAAATTGTAGAGGAAATTCTCGGAACGTTAAGCTGTTATGCGTAGAAAATACAAGACTATAAAAAATTAACAACAACAACCTTTTCAATGAAACAATATGATTTGAAAATCAGCCAATTAAGAATAAATTTCTAATGGTTGAAAATTTATTTCTTAATAAGAACACAAATTGCTCGCTTTAGTTGCTGCTTTTCTACTAAAAAACTGATTGAGCAATTAACATATTTACTAAGCCGATCATTGAATGAGCAGAATAAGAAATTATCTTCTACAAATTATAACAATTTTTCATTTTGATTAAGTATTTGTGAGAAAATAGCAAGGAAAAAAAAAAAAAAAAAATATATATATATATATCTAAAATGAATTTTAATTATATAATACATAAAGTATACTTTAATACAAATACTTACATAAAAAGAGTAATATATATACAACAATAATAATAATTAAATATCAAATAAATAATTATTACATACAAGTTGAACTGTATGTAAGAAATTATTATTCTTTTTATGTATTTAACACGTGAAATAATATGTTATAAGAATTGGCCTAGATGAAACGCTCTTTTGACATTATTATTAAACACTTTCAGTCTACCCATGAAATAATATTCAATTTTAAGAAATTACAGTCTCTGTCTTTGGGAAACGCCTTTTTCCCCGCCGAGACATGTAATAAAGTCGTTTGAATTTTCCATTGAACGACCCGTCGGCCTTGACGTCCACGAGGCCGCAAATTCGCCGCCGTTTTCCTAATGAGAATAATAAAACAGATCCTTTTTGTACGATACGAATAGTAATTCCGGGAATCCGAGGTACAATCCGAGCGGCTTCGAGCCCGAGGCCGTCCCCTTAAAAACTGCCGGTCCCGGAAGTTTTTACGTAAGAAACGAATTTAACTCGGTCGTTGCCGATGTCCCGTCCCGAATCCATCTTTTAGCTTTTAAATTAGTGGCGTCAAATGTATCGCATTTCATTTTTAATTTTTTAAAATTAAGTATTTATCGTCTAAATATTTTGCACTATAGATTCATATAATTCATAAACAATGTGTCTTATAATGAGTATACATCCATGTACGTAAATGATGACACACTGATTAAAACATTTGCGCAGATAGAGAGAGAGAGAGAGAGAGAGAGAGAGAGAGAGAAAGAGAGAGAGAGAGAGAAGCGTAGTCAATGACTCAAATTTCAATATTTATATATATATATATATATATATTTTTTTTTTTTTTTTTTAAATTGCAATTATCAGAGGTTTCGGCAAAAAATATCAAATATATCTACATATATATTGTAAATATTTTGTTCACATTTTGTATGAGAAAAGAATACAAGTTTAATAATTATGTAACTCATATACTAAGATCAACGGTATTGTGTCATTTTAGATATTGAAGTTTTATTTCTATTCAGTTAGATGAAGTGAGCTTATAAATAAATATTCATAGGTATGAGTCCATTCGATATTTTATGCGCGCGCGCGCGCGCGCACACACATGCACAAAACAAGCGTATACGCCGATACACTAATAGAATTTAATGTAGTGAAAATTATGATTTATGATGAAAATGCGTAAAAGATTATTATCATTTCTGCGTAAAAGCAATTGATTTGAATAATTAAAATTTCGAACGAACGACTTTAGTAGGAAAAATAAAGTTTTGACAGCATATCGTAATAGCAGACGTGCGTAGTTTGATCAGACCATCGGCCTACTATTGGTTCACTATTTTAAAGATGAGAGTTGCTTAGTAAAAACTGGAACCTAACTAATGTTCGAAAAGAATCCAATAAAACCAGTGTAATGTGATCATGATAAGGATATTTAATATTGCTTACATACGCAATGTCTTAAAAAAATGATAATCGAGATATCACACTGACAACAATTCCATGAAATATTAATACATTTAAAAGTAAGATTTAGCAAATCATTAGTAATTGAGAGACAGATGGAAATAAGTGTCATGATCGCTCGGTCTCGAAGAGTAGAAAGAGATATAAGCTTATTCAATTAGCAAATGTGGTCGAGGTTGTGTAGTATTATACCTTTAAGTTTTAACTGATCCGTATTTTTATTTTTAGCAACTCTTGCAAATATTTTATTCCCGTTAGCTGATAATAATGTTTTGAACGGTATGAGAATTTTGTACTTGAGTTTAGCTGTTGAAGGGATTTTTAATGTATTTTTCTTGTGGATATCTAAATTTATATTATTATTATGCCACCAAGTCGACTGGATGCAATATACAGAAGTATTTTGATCAACAAATTTTTTACCAAGGGATGGGGTAGTCCAGAAAATTTAAAAAAGTAAGTTACCGATGCAATGGTGAAGTATTTTATTTGTGTGCGATGGTGTTGCTATTGATTTTTTATACCGGTCACCAGAATTCTTAACTTTTATATTATTATATATATATTTGATTTTTATGATACATTTGTTTACCTATGAATAGGTTATAAAATTTAATTTATTTAATAATTGTACCTAATAATTTGAAGGACGATTTCAATATTACCACAAATAATTATGTCCAGGCTTTTATATAAGTACTTAAATTCTCTGCGATAACTTATTTAATATATTTAATATATGTGCAGATTATTTGAATTTAGAAAGATCATTGCTAATCGAAAACTGTGTTACAATCTCATACCTCGAGATTATCCAATAACAATAACAAAGGTAAGTACTTTCTTAAAACAAAATCTATAAGTTATATGAAATTTTTGATATGTTTATTTACCAGGATGAGAAATGGTCAGATTGCCGCGTGATAGATGGAAAATTTGAGTCACCGTTTGAGAGAAATTTACCCGGTATTATGCCGGAAGCAACCAAGACCGCTTACTTTCAAATGATTTTACCAAAACAGTGGAAGTCTCAAAAAATTAAACCTATTTGCTTACATCTTGCTGGAACCGGAGATCATGTAAAAGAACATACAAATGTTTTTAAAAATTTTCTTTATAACTTTATTGCAGTCTTATTGTCAATCTAAAATTTTCAGCTTATTTATTTTAAAGTTTCTCTACCGTCTATAATATATTCTTTTAGAGATTGAAAAATGGTTACTGCTAATGATTTTTTGCCTTCTGTTTGTAAATTTGAAAATTTCTTAATTAACGAATTCTATATTGTCCATAGTACTTTTGGCGTAGAAGAAATTTTATTGCAAGGCCGTTACTTAAAGAATCAGGGATAGCATCGGTTTTACTTGAAAATCCATTTTATGGTTGTAGAAAGCCTAAAGATCAGATGTAAATTATTATCTTTTCTTTTCTTTTTCTAAAGTATATCTTAATGAAATATTTTAAATCTTTAAAAATTCTCATATTATAGACAATCAAATTTGCACAATGTGTCTGATATTTTTATCATGGGTGCATCTATAATATTGGAATCTACCGTCATACTCAATTGGTGTGAACAGCAAGGATACGCACCTCTTGGTCTTACAGGATTATCAATGGGTGGACATGTTTGTATATAATTTTAAAAACTAATTAATCATTTTGCAACAATAATTTCAAATATTAAAAATTAAAAATATTTCATTCATCCTTTATCAGAAATTTAAAATTAATATATTCTTATCACAATATAAAACTATATATATTTGATATTATTCTATGTATAAGCTTCGAGCTACAATTATCACGTAAAATAAAAAATATATCATTAGTTTTTACATTTCTGGTCAATTTTTATTATTCATTATTAAAAATAAAATAAGAATATAACATTATAGGCTATCAATATTGTATGTACCATTCAATTAACAAATTGAATTAATTACCTTATTATTATTAATATTATTATTTAATAATATTAACAATCAAATTGTTTATTAAATTATTTATATTTGTAGATGGCTTCTCTTGCAGCCACAAATTGGCCAAAACCAATACCACTAGTACCTTGTCTTTCATGGTCAACTGCGTCTCCAGTATTTACTAAAGGTGTAATGAGTGACTCAATTAATTGGTCCTTATTGGAATCACAGTATTTTGAAAATAAAACGTATCAAAATGATTTAGCGAAAATGGTCAAAGTAATTCATGGAGATGTTAGTATACATGATATACATTTATATTAATTATGTGCTTAATTTAATTATGTATTTAATTTTGTTATTAGGATGCGTATTTAGCAGGACAATATTTTGCAAAGCATTTCCCTAAAAGTATGAATACACTCAATAAAATTAAAAATGAATCTACCGAGCCTGTAAAAGAAAAGGAAAATACAGATAATAAAGAGTCCACGATAAATTTGTCTCCCGATACTAATGAAGATAAAAATAAAGTCGATAAGAAAACACTCGTAGAAGAACATGCCGTTACACAATTATTTCCTATGAAGTTTATATCAAATAAATTGAAATATAAGTCAAATTTTAAAAAAAGTAAGAGTTTATTAAATTTAAAATATTGAAAATCAATTCAAAATGTTCTATACAAATTCAATAAAATTGTAAGTAAAATTGAATTTTTAACGATATAAAAAATCATAACATTACAAATATCTGTAAATTGAGCAGTTTGATTTAATTTAATTACTAAGGATCAAAGTATACAAATAAGATTAACGTTTAGATTTCGGTAATCATAATATTTAATTGAACATAATACAGTATTTACGTTAAAATACTATAGAAAAATAGTAATTATAATTTATCGATCATTAAAATCTGCCTGTTCGTAACTTGAAAATATTTATCATTTTAGATAAAAAATTGCGTGAGCCAGAGGCACTGCAGTTCATGAGAGGAATAATGGATGAGTGCACACACTTACAAAATTTCGAAGTACCGGTTGATACTGAGCTTATAATAGCTGTGTGTGCAAGAGATGATGCTTATGTACCAAGAGACGATTGTGTAGGTTTGGAGAAAATCTGGCCAAAAGCTGATATACGATTTGTTGATGCCGGACACGTGAGTGCTTATGTGCTTTATCAAAAAATGTTTAGGTAAGAATTTCTGTTGAAAAAGAAACTTGCTGTTGGTTAATATTCACAATTTATTTTACGGAGCTTTCATCAATACGATTCTTATGAAATAAATATTAAGGTGTTTAATACAGTAAAAAATTATATTTAATTGTAATTTGTAGATTTTTAAGTTTTGCTTTGTTGATAGTTTATTAACAAGTTTAATTTCATGTAGTTGTAGTAGCTTCGAATCAATAATTTTATGAGCAGATATATAATGAGAATAAGAAAAATAAATGAGTTCATTAACATGATTTCATGTTAAAAAGAATTTTAAATGGCATTCGTGATATTCTAAATAGATATAATTTTAATAGATTTTATATTAATGTTTTATAATACTGTTTTTAATCAATATTTATTATATGCTCTTTGAAAAAGTGAAAAGTTCAGTTAATAGTATTTTGTAATTCCTTTTATATGCATTTATAAACGCATTTAAAATGTACATAATAGTTTAGTACAATTCTATTTAGTATAAATTCGTATATAATTTTATAATAATATTTTTTATAAAATATTTTATTCATAAAATAAATATAGATAATCAAATTAATGATTAATATTACTAATTAAGTGTTAATATTTTCTAAAGATTTTCATGTTTTATTTTCATATTTTATATTAATTAAAACAATGATATATTAAAATAATAATATATTTATAAAAGAATCTTCATTGTTTAAATAATATGTTTATCATCAATTGAAATTATCCAAACTAAAAAACTGTATAAAAAGCAAATTAATTAAAAACAAAGAATAATACGTCGTTACGATTCACCAGATATTTTCTCTACATTATTAAATTTTAATTAATAATGTGGATCTCAATATATTACGAAACGTACATAAATTTTTATGCAAAACAACTAATAAAATTATATGATCTATACAATTTTACGAATTTTAATTTGTTTGACGTAGAAATAATTTTTATGATATTTTTGAAATTATATGAATACTGTTTTAGTAAAACAAATTGATGATAAAGAAATTTTTTATATAATTTGAATCGATTCTGGAATCATACTCATTGCCAATTTTACTTTTTGTTTTAAATTAATATGAACTGAATTAATAATTGCTATAAAAAATGTAATTGATAATTATGTTGGTGCATTTTTTTTTCCATAAAGACTAACATTTTATTATAGTATCAAATGCGAATTATATCTATTTTGTTTAATAATAGTTGCTTACAAAAATATATATTTATTTTACTTTATTGTTGTTACGAGTGTTAATTAAATCTTGTGTGATTTAAAAATATCGGTTCTATAATTTGGAATTGCGTTAAAAATACCAAAAATTATTCGATTTTTTCAAGATTTTTAATAAGGAAAATGATTTGCAGGTCGAATACATGAATAGTTAAATACAAATTAAAAACTATATTTTTGACATCTCTGTCATACTTTTTTTTTATGTAAAAAGTTAAAATATCAGGCACCTGAAGAATAATTAAGTGCTCATGTATAATGACATAATTTGTTGATAACTATTTTAAAATATAACGATGGAAAATAATTCGACGATGATTAAATATATTTTAGTAAAATACATTTATATCTATTGTTTTTAAAGTCAATGCAATGCCTGACAGTTGTATGTGCCAGTGCTAATCCGTTTATCAATAATTTATCTAATTTCTGTAGTTTTAAGCTACTATTTCCAATATAAATTTGTACCGATAAAACAACTATTAATTTTCAATAAATTATATTTTTAACATTCACATAATTGTGAAATTAATTTATGTATTAATCCAAATACGACTTTTGACGTTAGTAATTAAAAAAGTTGAATAATAAAGCATAGTTTTATACAGACTATACGTTATAAAAATATATATCGATATAAATTAGTATTTATTTAATTACTATAATATTTTAAATTAAATTATGAGATATATTTAAATATTTGAACCATTTACATATTTACATTTACATATATCAGGTTGAATGTGATTTAATGTAATACATTTTTATTGATGTTACTATAATTTATTAAAAAGAAAGAAAAAAAAACATATATATATATATAATGTAAGAATAACCATAATTATAAATAACCATATATTCATGAATATTTTATTTAAAATGATTTGAAAAATTTAATATATTGTACATTAAAAACTTTTTTGTTTTAGATCAACGATTGCAGAAGCATTTCAAAAGTATTTGAGAAAATATCCGATTAACGATAGTTGATATAAATGCAGCGATTTATTGTTGTTGAAATCTTTTAAACCAATCGTAAAGGAATGTAATAAAATTTTTAATAAATTAATACTTATTGGCATGGTGTCTTGTGAACAAAAATTCTACAAATAATTATGTAAATGAAATTTACTTACCTTGTATACGAGATTTACAAAGACAAATAATATAAAATTATATAAAAAATTATATATACAATTATACATAATATTCGTAACTTGTTCATATTTACATGTATATACAAGTAGAATAATGATTCAGTAATAAATTTTATTTTTCAAATTTGAAATATTAATATCTTATGAATTTGAATGGTTTTCTTTAATTTAGGAAATCTAGATAACTTTTTTTTGTATACATTGTAAAATTTATTTTATTTAAATTATTCATCGGACACGAAATATTATTTAAACAAATAAATATATTATTAATAAATTATCAACTATTTATTTCTACATTTTTATAACATAATCTATCTTTCATAAAATTTATAACGTATTCTTTTATTATATCTTGTATAAATGTATAAATATAATTAATTTAGCCTATGTTATAAAATATACTTCAAGACCAATTCATGTTATTGAAAATATTTTTGGATGAACTTGTAATATCTTTTTACATCTAAAAGAAGCCCTCATAAATGTATTAATCAATTAAGGAATGAATGAATTGATTAATATATTACTAATACACTTTTAATGCAATCGGTATTTAAGTTTCTTTCAATAATTTATATTTCTTATATATTTAATTGTTACAATATGTTTATTTAGTCTTTAGTTATGTTTTGCTTTTATCGTTGAAATTGTATGAAAGCGAAGAAATGCATTTTATGTGATATGCTTTGAAAATATATTGAAGAATATACATAGTTTATATTATGCAGAAGAATCGTGAAGATGCAAATATCTACAATATTAGTTATTTATAATAATATCTACGTTAATACATTAATAATCATCAATTGTATCAAACAGTCATAGTAATAAATAATTTAAGTAAAAAGAAATTTATTTATACAAAACATTTGGTTATATTAATATTTATTGTGCCATACTGTAAGTGATTAATAATGAAAAGATCTTATTAATTAAAAATGTTTAAATTAGTATCTAAGAATGTATTAAATACGTTGAATGAAGAAGAATTGTCTTAAAATCAGAAATATTTAGCACTGTTGTACTTATTTAGCATTATTTACAATATCGAGAATACAATTAATCAATATTATTAAAAATCATTAAAAATAATTATATATATTAGAGGTATATTTATTAATAATAAAAACATACCCGATATTCTTTGAAACGAACCTTGTAATGACTAGAATTTAATTTAAATAAAGTAGTAAGTAAAACAGAAAATAAAATTATTTTTTAATGAAATATAAAAATAAGTACAAAAGGCTTTAGATAAAATATATTCACACCTTATCAAATGCATAATATCGATCATTCAACAATACCAACTTTATGAAAATAAACATGAATAGACATGGACAAAATTATTTATTAATTTGTAAATATTTAATGTATGGGGTTTTAATATGGAGTTAATCAACGTGCGTCATCATTAATTTGATGAAATATTCATATTACAGCATTGATAGCTTGAAGAATTAAAAATATTAATATTAAATAATCGATGTAGATGCATGTAAATTGTGCTATAAAGTCGTGTATAAGCGAAAGAAGAAAGAAGATTATAAATGAAATTAATCGCTATAAATTATTTAATATAAGATAATTAGTTACATAGTGAAAGCTGTAATATTTAGTTTACATATACACACGTGCATATTTACGCAAGCGAGCGAGTACATAATAATTCATAATTTTGCACGAATTGAAATTATTTCTATCAAATTTTAATCAACATACCACTATAAAAATCTCAATTTGATAAATAAATAAATGGCAAACTACATGGATTTTATATTCCTCTCTAAATATTTTATTCGTCTTAATTATGATAATTATCTGGAATGAAATTGTTAATTGTTTTAATTAAAAGTCACCGGTTTTTCGTAGTAGAATAAATTATTACCGTTTTAATAAATAAAATTTGGAAAAATCGTTGAAAAAGCATTCGTAGCAATTATGAATATTTCATAATTCAATCTCATCCTAATGATGTGACTGAGATTTTAGAAAATTTATTGACATATTGAAAATAAATCTCACATAGTATTTATATTTATCATATATGTTGTTTTTTTTATTTATTTATTGTTAAGACTCTGAATAAGAACCTTGGAAGGGTTAAAATTTTAATTACAATTAGATTTTTAAAAAGTATTGTTTATTATTATAAAAAAAAAAGAAAAAAAAAAAATAGAATCCATGAATTTATTTTTTATGCAAAATATTGATTCGTATATGATTCTATTTAATTTTATTGAGCATTTTGACAATTGTTTCTCAAAATCATTAAATTTATCTGCCAATTAAAATCTTTATTTCCAATACATTAATTTCAGCGTTATAATATATTTATTTAATCATTGTTTAATATTTTTTCAGACATTGTAATTATATTCCATATTATAATAATTACTCTACGAAAGAAAAGTTTACGTTACTTGTATTATGTATAATTGATAAGCACATATAATTACTACGTCGGTGTATTTTGGTTTTTAAAGTTTGCAAAACCGCTATTAAACGTTCGAAGTTAATGTAATTAAAAAGTTATTCCTATCAAATTTTTTCTTGTTTTTAAAGTTATTACCATGTCGGTAAAATCGATCATACATAATGTGTAATAATAACAAAAATATATTATATATATATATAACAAATATATATAACAAAAAATAACAATATTATGTTACATTTTATATTTAATTATGTCTAACGTTTATGATTGACTGGAAAATTTTTTTTTTTATTAAAATTCAATTCATGTTTATCTTAGGCTATGCTTAATTGGTTATTTCAAGATTATGACGCAACTAACATTCTAATGAATATAAGAAAAGACGGTAAAAAACGTATGCGACACGTGACTTCCCAATTATTAAAACATGTCTCTTATTTATATTTATACTATAATAAGTATATAATTTGCTTTATTTGTCCTTTTTATGATTTATAATAAACGCTTTCGATCGTGCTTTTAGACAAAAAAATAATAACCTAACCATATTTACCGACAATTATCCCTTTTCCATTGTATTCGTTTAAATTAACAACAATTAAAACGGGCGTGAATGATTCACGCGAAAGAAGATAATATTACGGTAAAATTTTATTTATAAACCATCACCATGTCCGCTCCTCGTTTAGCGAGTCGCGCATTTAAACAAACTCGATATTAACGACATTCAATTACCAATATCCCCCTTCCCCTCATATAACGAATGTTCGCTCAACCAGGCCCCGATACAACAAAAGCTCCTCGTTAACGAAATGCCTATAATTGGGAGCGCAGCGTCAGGCCTGGGACCCCAAGGCGCACATTTTCGAAGCTTCGGCAAAATGTCGCCTGTGTATATCCAAGCGAATTACAATTTGATTAGGTTCAATAAGATCTGGGCGACCGGGCACTGGAGGCAACGTGTTTATCGGAACCAGCTTCCTTTCTCCCTCTCTCCTGCCATCGCTCGATCACTCGGCTCGCTCACTCACTCCCACCCTGCACGCTTCCGTACTCTCATTAACGGTATATCTTGCCTGACGGCTTATGTCAACAAAACGTTAAGGTGACCGTGGATGATTGACGGGGGGCTAATGGCTAGGGGTTAGGGAATGGGAGGGTGGATCTCGGCCGCGGGAACCAAGCAACGCGCATGGCACATTGGAAATAATCGGCAAGCCGAGCGCAAAGGAACCACGCCGGCACCACCAACCGACTTCAAGGCCCCAGTAATCGGCGACCGACCCGTTTACGCATGCGCCCCAATGCCGGCTCATTCCCCGACGGCCACCCCGGATGCCGACAACTCCACGCGCCAATCCACATGCTTACGCGTGTGGGCTGCGCTGGTCGTTTTGAATGCGCTGAAAGCTCGAATCCGGAAACGCGCCGCTGCTTTTCAATTTTCGTCGTGCGCTCTTACGTGCTTCGGCTTTCTGACGAGCGATTACGATTTTATTCCGTGTATGCCTAGCGGGTCTGTAAGCAAGCTTGCGCGTCCGTGGCGTTGTTGCGAAAATTCGGCAAAGGTCCCGGTGGATTATTAGCTTTGCTCTGTCAGGACAAGGTGAAGGAGGAAAAGAAAAAGGAAGAGGAAGAGGAAGAGGAAGAGGAAGAGGAAGAGGAAGAGGAAGAGGCAGAGGAGGAAGTGGTGGTAGTGGTGGTGGTGGTGGCGGTAGCGGTGGTGGTGATGGTGATGGTGGTAGTGGTAGTGGCAGTGGTAGTGCCGGCGGTGCTAGTGGTAGTAGTTTTGACGGTGTTGGTAAAAGCGGCACCGGCGTAAGGGGAGGAGGAGGAAGACGACGGCGGCCGAGCTTAACTCGGGGACCACATGGTCGGGCCTCCCGCGTAGCCCAGCAGTCCCGTGCGTTATTCAATACGTCGGCGCCGAGGCGGTAAGGGACATTCTGGTCCGGGGCTAGAACGGTGTACCGAGCAACTGTAGCGAATGACGACGACGACGACGACGACGACGACGACGACGACGACGACGACGACGACCTTGTTCTTCGCCCGTTTGCCACCACTTTTCAAAAATGCGACTATGTGTTTACGTAATTGGCGGCCGTTCGAACGAGTACGTGACTGAGGGTCGCGACGAGCGTCGGCGCTGCTGCCGCCGCTGCTGAGTTGCTCGTCAACGGGAATTAATCGGTGGCCGCTGGAGGAGCGGAGACCAGTGCGCGAATAAAGCGGGAGACGCTCGCCCGGACTCCCGAGTGGGAAGAGTCGAAAATTTCGGTGCGCACACCGCCGCGCACACGCTCGTTGACGCGCGCGTCGCACACTTGCAAACGGCTGCGGCCCGTCGTCTCGTTCGGTGCATGCGGCTTGCCGAGTGACGACCAAGGTATATAGCGCATTAGCGGCCGGACTCCTGGCAACACGGGAAGAGGTCGAAGTTTCGAGGAGGCAGCCCGGGCGGAGCGGCGGACGATCGTCTCGGCTGCGTTTGGCATCGAGCTCGTTACGGGGCGGAATCGAGGAACCGAAGCGAGTCGGTCGAATCGTCGAGTCAGACGCACATAACCCCAAAGTCCAGCGCAACGTGCTCGACGTCGCCAGTACCTATATAATACGTGTATCGCGAAAGTGCGCGATCCGTGTGAGAGACAAAGAAGATAGGAAGAAAGGAAGAAAGTACGGCAGGGTGTACCCCGAAGAGGGAAGGAGTAAAAAATTAGTGTGCCGAAACGTGCGCGTCGAGGAGCGGCGAGGAGAGGAGCGGTGCGGCGCGGTGAGGTGAGGCGTAGAGAGGTGTGGAGCGGCGCGGTGCGGCGCGGAGTGGTGTGGAGAGGAGAGAAAAGGGAGTCCCGAAGCCGAAACTTGTGTCGAAGACAGTACGGGATCCACTTTATTCAAAGGCAGTAGTTATCATTTTGCGGTGGCGCGATAAATTACGCGCTAATCCACGAGGGAGATTATGGACGCTGATCACACGTCGAGCGTGCAGACGTCGAGCGAGTAGGGGAGAAAAAATTAAAAGTAAGGTCCCAGTCAAACACGAGGTAGGCGCGCGCCGCTATCTCACATAACCTCACTTGTCGCGAATTTCTTCGCATATTATCGTCATGTCTGGCATGTAAAGCGCGTGACTCGAGTGGAGGAGTGTACGAAGTCAGGAGTCAAATTCATGTCTAATCGAAGGCTGTAAAAGACCTCGGATCCTGCGAACTTTTTCCTTTCGGCCTCTTCGTCTCCACGAGGTGGAGTGTGAGAGAGAAAGAGAAAGCGAAACGGACAGAGATAGAGTGAGAGAGAGAGAGAGAGCGAGTGAGCGAGTGAGCGAGTGAGCGAGAGTGAGTGAACGGGAGAGAGAGAGAGTGTCAGGATACGGGGTTGCTCTGCTCAAGTGCCGAGAGCCAAGAGAGAGAGAGAGAGAGAGAGAGAAAGAAAGAAAGAAAGAAAGAAAGAAAGAAAGAGGGTGAGCGAGCGAGCGAGCGTGCGTGTTGTGCGTTCGAACGAGCGAATATAAGGTGGAGAGAGAGAGAGAGAGGGAGATAGAAAGAGATAAAGACAGGCAGACAGCGAGAGAGGGTGAGAGAGAGAGAGAGAGAGAGACAGCGTGAGCACCGACCATAGAAAGAGAGTAATCGTGTGAGGAGCGAGGGAGGAAGCAGAACAAGGAGGATAGATAGTTCGAGACGGAACGCAAAAAAAAGGCAAAAAGATACTACTCTCTCAAAGATGGCGGCTAAGGTGGTAAGCAGCGGCATTCAGCAGCATCAGGGCAGTAACGAGAAGGAGCAGGGCCCGACCGGTGTTTCATACGCGAGTGTACTGAATCCAAAGGTTCCGGAGACAACGACGTCGTCCGCAGTGGGTTTAGGTATGTATGGCAATGATTTTAGATCCCGTATTGATCTGGCAAGTAGAATTTTAAATTTTAAATTATTCGTGAATCTCGATTGACGTTTAAAACTTTAAATGGCTCGTCATTATGTTTTATACGAAAGTAATTAATAAATTTAAAAGCATTTATTTGCTCGATTTCGTTTGGGTTATTTGGTGTTATCATCAATAAAAATTGTATCGCCTTAGATAAATGTTGTCGCGGGAGAATGGCTTAGTTTAAGATTACCGAATATTTGATTTATATTATTGTCTCTCGTGTATGTTAGGAAGGATTCTAAAGTTTATTATATGAATCTGCTATTTCATAGAAAATTTGTAAATTGTAGATGAAAGGTAACATTCATGGTCTTAACTGTCATTTAAGCAAGTGTTATTTCTTTCTTTTTTAGTTTATTTTACCTCTCGATTTAAGTACGTTATCCAAAGCATTTTTATTTTTAATCTTTGCCAAATTTTTATTAACGTTTCATTTCATATATGCGCTTAGTTGTCATAAAAGGCAATTGGCTTTCAAATGTCGCTTGCTATTCAGATGCTGTCGGTATAAGTTGAAACTTTGTCAAATTTTGCATTATAAATATCTTATGATTCTCCTTTAATTTTTTAGGATGTACTAAAGAGAATAACAAAGAGAACATTGGCGAACAAGTCTCGACTCAACAGAATCCGGATGAGACTAAAGGCAAGTCTTATAAAAAGGCTTGTCGCAGATTTGAAACTCACAGACATAAAATTACAGAGCGTAGACTGTATGGAAATTACGTACCACACAATAATACACCGGCTCCTATAGAAGCTACCGCCCCTGTAAAAACTACAAACGTAAGTCGTCCCAACGGAAGCGTTCAAGAAGGACATAACGAAGTTTTAAAAAATGGAGATATTGGGAGCGATGGAGAATTTCAAACCGTCGCTCCAAAAAGTGCCAGACGAAAGGAAAAGTTAAAGGAGCAGAGGGAATATGTAGAGCCTCAACCATATCGTAATAAGGATAAGCAAAGGTTGCATGGTCGTAATGGGGAAAGTAACGAAAGATTACATAAGGAGAGGGAGTACCTATTTAATGCCAAAGATGGATTGAAAGATAAAGAGAAAGAGAAGGACAGAGACGCTGAGGTGTATGTCGAAGAAGTTGAACATCAACCCATAAGATACATCGAGGCACCAATTCCTGTCGTCAATCCTTGGACAAAGAGCAAAGTAAATACGTTACAGCCAGCCGCCCCGACACCAACTACAACTCCTGCTCCTGCAGTGACAGCATCTGCACCCGTTCCTGTAAATAAAGTCGTCGAAAAAGAAAAGAGAGTTTTACAGCCGCAACAACAGAAAGTTAAAGCTGGTAAGTTTTTTCTATCTGGTATGTTCAAATGAAATTCAAGCTTAAGTGCCACTTTAAATTATCCACAAATTTCAATACAAATCATGAAAAATACTTGGTTAAAAATTTAATAATTTAGCTTAGATAAAAAAAATAACAAAAAAAAAACAATGTATTATTTTTTATTTGTATTGGATGTATTTTTGTATTAAATTTACAAATTAATAATTTACTAATTTGCAATATTTCTTGATAGTAACAGCATGTTCCTTTAATATACGATTTAAATACTATTGGGTAATATATTTTTCTTATGGAGTACCAATTTAAGATTCAATAAGGGAAAAAAAATCATTTATTCAGGGTATTTGTACAAGTAATTTATAAATTTATTATATGTCAAAAAAATTAATTATTTTCAGACTGTAAATTTTTATGCTTTGCCCTAATTTATGATGAAACTTAATGAATCAATTATTACTATCTGCAATAAGTTTTCATGTAGGGGTGGCAATAATTTAATGTTATAAAAATTTATTAATTTATCTACAATAAATATAAACTATTTTATTCTATTTTATTTTATAATGTTAATTAATACATAGTGGGAAGGCAAATATATACAGTATATTTGCTAATGTAATTTATGATATTTATTAAGTATTAATTATACATATTATGGATGACAAAAATTGAATTTACTGTGCTTCAGTAAACAAATATTATTTCACGTAAGTTGATAATGCGTTAAAAATATTTTATATAATTGAAACACTTTAGTTCTTGTGTTATTATTTTTTTTTTATTTAATTTTCATAGTTACTTATATATTTCAATATATAATAAGAATAAAAACTTTATTTCACCATTTATTTCTTAACTTTAATACCACATATATATATATTTTTTTTATACATTTCTATTATATTTAATATTCAAAGAGTAATAAATAATAGTCAAGGATGGGGGTATATCATTACATTATTTATATCCGTTTACTTAAGAACATTATTATAGATAATAATAAAAAAATCCTACCAATAATTGATAATCAATAATACAATTTAGACTTGTATTTGTATAACATTAATATCCTAATCTTAGAATAAAAAAAGCAGGTTAATTACATTACAAATGTGAGGTATGTCTTAAATTTTTATTGAAAAATGAAAAACACTCATCACCAATTAATATTGTCATGAAATTCGATTAAGAAATTTTCTTCTTGATTATTAATGTAAAAAAATTAACATACGAATTATACATTTCCTTCGAAAAATGTATTTTGTGTAAAATACCGGCCGTCTATCTATTCTGTAATGACAAAATAATATAAGATTTCATCATTACACATACGTAATATGTAGTACCTACATCTTACATTTATGAGAGTATTTCAACGAAACTGATCAATCACGTGTTATCGAGGAGCGCTTATAATTTTCTTACGTGATTATCCGATTGTTGGGCTCGAGTTAAATTTCCATTTATCAGACCGTAATAACTTATACATTGTATTAATCAACTTAGTTTCTCTTTGGACGTCCATTTTGGACGTAGAATTAAACATTTATTTATTTATTTATTTATTTATTGTTTTTTTTTTTTTTTTTTTATAGAAAAACAAAATATGGAAAGCGTTATATTACGAATAATCGTGTTTTATGATAAAATAATTAACAAAAAGTAATACGAGAGTAATAGGCACGTAATGTTTAATGGGTATTAATAATTTTTTCATTATTGTTTGATTTTCTTTTTTTTTATTCTTTTTTTTTTATTCTTTTTTTTTTTTTTTTTTTTTTTTTTTTTTAATTAAAATTTATCTAAGTTATAAACCTTCCTTAAGTAAAGATTACATTGCTCAAATTAAATATAAATTATTCGTACTTACATAACTTTAAGGTTAGGTTTTAATCCACGTGCCTCGAACGATATTACTACGAATAATGTAAAATTTTGTTACTTTAACTTTGAAAATGTACAATATGTAGGTAAAATCACATAATTGAAAAATTACGATAAACTTTAATTAAGAAATGGTTTAGTAATTGGATAATATAAAATTATAAACAAATGGAATTTCGGACAATGACAATTGATTATTAATTAATTAATAGAAAAAGTTCTGATGAAAAGCAAAATTGTTTATAATAAATGATGGAAATTTGTTTCAATAAATAAATACATCGAATTAGTTTAAATTAAATTAATTTTTATATGTCGTGCATGCTATAATTATACTTTAAGTTTGTAATACGCGCAGTATTTTATTTCATAACTTCATATCCTGAAGATTTCTTTCTTTAATCATTAATTTTATAAAACATGCATAAAATAATTATTGTCATTTTATTGTATTATATTTATGTTAGCTTCAATTTTAAGCGAAACGTGTAAAGACGAAAAATAGTTAAAAATATTTTGTTGTGAGGTGGCTAATCAATTTGCATTATCAAATATATTTATAAAAAATGTTAAATTCGATAATTATAATATAAATATTAAGTTTGAAACTTAATTAATCCAAATATAAAAACGACGCGTTTTATGTAATAATTTACAATTTTTAACATTGTATTGAAAATTTTGAATGATTCATTTTATTAATTGAGGAAAATTTTCTTATTGGCTTAAGTTTTTTTTTTTTTTTTAACTGAAATTAAATACTTTTGTGTTTGGTTATATTCATCTTCCAAATCTTAAAAAGCAACTGTGTTATATATATATATATATATATACATATAACAACAAATATGTAAACTGTCATTGTATTAATATTTTATTATAATACCAATACTATATTTCCTTGTAGTGTTACTACTTTATTCTGCTTAAAATAATTGTCTTAAAATGACGCATCCATCGTTTAAAATAAGTTTACAAACATTCTTTTAATATTAAAGATATACTTATCGAATGTTTAGACACTTATAATTTATACTATTATATAAATATCCAGTTTAGTGTCAATTTAATTTCAATATGTATTATTGTATTTGATTTTCTTACAAGATGAATATTGAATAAAGCAACTTAGATGTTAAGCATATTTAATAAATGATATTTCTGAAGGCTATATAATTATGTTATCCAGTGGGGTAAATTTTGTTTTTCATTAGAACCGTATCAGAAATATTGGCCAATGAAGAGAGGCAACGTGTAGTTTCGTTCCACGCGTCTAGACAGATAAAGACGAAGCTCAAGTTTAAGAGGTATTTACGCAGGTACAGAGTTGCCTGTATATCATTTAATCACTTTTTAGTTATTTTAAATTTACCTTTATTTGTCGATGAAAAATTTGGTTTACCTAAAACAAAATTAAATATAATAATCTATTTGGCTACTCTACGGTGAATACGAGTACGTCTACATTATTACTGCGATTTTACCAAGATTCTGTTAATACAAGCTTTATACATTATAGCTGTAAAATTACCTAATTTAGCTAATACTAATTTTTGGGACAAGTTTTTTTTTCTTTTATCGGTAGTGTCATATATTTTTGACACAAAAAAAAAACAAATTAAAAATAATGTAATCGTAAATTTTTATAAATCCTTATCTGTTACACATAAAGAACATACATCAATCACTCTAGTAGCTGGAAAAAGAAATTAATTTTCTAATGATGTCGCAATTAAATCGTATTTGTTAAACAAATACTAATTCTCAATTTTCTATTCTACTCTTTATAAAAGTGAAAGTTATTATTTAAAATTCATAACCATAAATTGTTAGTCAAATAGTTTATTGAATTGAATTTAACGATACATAATGCTGCTTGATTACTTTGTATAATTTCTCTATTTATCATTAAACATAAATTACATTTAAAAGAGTATATACAATGAATACTAAGTCAATTGCTTTATTAGACCGATGAATGACAAAATAGACAAATATAGTTTGTGAGCTTTTGATAATATAGTTAAAAAAAGATTTTTTAAACTAATTTTCATTTTATACAAATTTTAATAATTATAGTATGACAGGAAATATATTGTAATTTTAAGAAATTTCTGAATATCTAAAGACACGGTTTTGTTACACAACTTATGCATTGGAATGACGAATACACATTTTATACAGCTTTCACGAAAAAATTAAATAACCAAGTTTTTACTGGACACGTACTTATTTAACATAAAATTATTCAATAAGTAAAGATTTGTTTTTAAAACAATAGCCTTATATTTAAATGTCGAAGAAGATCATTGAAAGGTGCCAATAAAGTGAAGAAAACTAAAATTATTTTAATAACATGACAACTGAAATAAAGAAAAAATTAAATTGTATTTTGTGGATAAGCATTGATATATGAATTATATGCTCTCTATAAATTACATTTAACCTATAATTTAAATAAAAAAATATCATTTTTTAAACTTAGACTCGATCTTTTTTTGGCTAAGGGGGCATTGTAATAAAAAAGTAATATTCTAAAGAACATTACCACTGTCTTAGATATAAGAAGTAAAATTAAATATGTAAAATTCACTTCATATATTTATGCCGCTTAATTTTAGGCACTTTTAATGCATATTGTTTTATTTCATTTTTGACATAATTAATAAATGAATTATTTTTTATAATTGACAAATTTCTAAAGAGTATTGTATTTTTTTGTGACCTTGAATTTATTTATTTCGGAATAAAAATTATAATTTTAATACAATAATATTTAGGTATTCACAAAATAATATAAGAAACAAGATATTTTTTCTATAATAATAATAATAATTATTATTATTATTATTGATATATTGATAATAGATAATAATAATTATTATTATTATTATTATAATACTATTAATTAAAAACAGAAGAAAAACTTAAAACATTAGGTAAATTAAGTAAATTAAATATTCATTTCATTGTTTTCTCTCAGAACTTCATGAAGTAATGTGTATTTAGTGAACTCAACCATATGCGAGGTTAAATTTAGTAAAAATAATAACTAGTAATTTAGCCACGTAATAAGTTCTGTACAAATTTTCGAATTAATTTGGAATACGGAA